TACACCAGACCAAATGTTTTTAGGACTACTGCAAAGATTTCCAGCATGGGCAGGTAGGCACCATTTTTGGTCAGTTGCTAATATCCCCCATACAGTCCTGAGTGTGACTCATTCTGCATTCCAGTATTAGGCCTTGAAAACTTGAAATTGTTTTATCATCTTAGGGTTTGTTCTTTGGGGATTTGCAGCTATGGCCTGGGTCACTTGATGGCTCCCATTTCGTGTGCCAAGAGCTGGCTCCCACATAGCGGCACATGCTTGGTTGACAGGTTTTGTGTTCTGTTCATTGTACAGCCTGGAGATTTCTGCCTTTGAAAAGTCCAGCAGTTCTGTGGCCTTTGTCACTGATTAAATGCCCCCCCTGTTCGTGGTCTCAATGGCTTTTTCATGGTGTCTTGGGTCATGCTTTAAGTCCTTCTGGACAAAACCAGAATGTAAATGTCCAAAAAATACAGCCAACACCTGTCACTGCAAATGGTTGGTACAGCAAATATTGATGTGTTTTAGTTTTTTTCTATTTAAACAATACTCTATGTGTGTGTATATACACTATATTGCCAAAAGTATTGGGACACCAGTCTTTACACACACATGAACTCTAATGGCATCCCAGTCTTAGTCCGTAGGGTTCAATATTGAGGTGGCCCGCCCTTTGCCGCTATAACAGCTTAAACTCTTCTGGGAAGGCATCCACCAGGTTTAGGAGTGTGTCTATGGGAATGTTGGACTATTTGTGAGGTCAGGTACTGATGTTGGAGGAGAAAGCCGGGCTCGCAGTCTCTGCTCTAATTCATCCCAAAGGTGTTCTATCGGGTTGAGGTGCAGGACAGTCAAGTTCCTCCACCCCAAACTCGCTCATCCATGTCTTTATGGACCCTGCTTTGTGCACTGGTGCGCAGTCATTTTGGAACAGGAAGGGGCCATCCCCAAACTCCTCCCACAAAATTGGGAACATTAAATTGTCCAAAATGTCTTGGTATGCTGATGCCTTAGGAGTTCCCTTCAATGGAACTAAGGGGCCAAGGCCAATCCCTGAAAAACAACCCCCCACCATAATCCCCCCTCCACCAAACTTTATATTTGGCACAATGCAGTCAGGCAAGTACCGTTCTCCTGGCAACCGCCAACCCAGACACATCCATCGGATTGCCAGACAGAGAAGCGTGATTTGTCACTCCAGAGAACACGTCTCCAATTCTCTAGAGTCCAGTGGCGGCGTGCTTTACACCACGGCATCGGACGCTTTGCATTGCACTTGGTGATGTAAGGCTTGGATGCAGCTGCTCGGCCATGGAAACCCATTCCATGAAGCTCTCTACACACTGTTGTTGGGCCAATCTGAAGGCCACATGAAGTTTGGAGGTCTGTAGCTATTGACTCTGCAGACAGTTGGCACAGACTTCTGCACACTGTGCGCTTCAGCATGCGCTGACCCCTGTCTGTCAATGATATCACGGATAGCGCAGTGCAGACATCAGAGTGAAGATGAGTTGATCACCAGCACACACATGCAAGCTTTTTTCTTTCTTTCTTTTTTCGTGCTTTATTATACTGTCACATAATGTCCCAAACAACATTCCGGGGTCACGTAGGGCCCTTTCATCAGGTTGACACAGTGACAACACATCAATATACACATTTATCATGGCCTTCGGTGAACAATCTGCCTTTTGTTGCAGCCAAATATTTAAAACATATTGAAAACATTTATACTGAGATGACTGAGGCACGCATCTGTTTTCTAGACTTTTTCTATTAATGCTTTTTACATATTGTGACTTACCTCTTGGCTGCATCCTGCAGCTCTTGGCAAGTGCTAATAAGCAAGCAAGTTGGAATGACATACCACTTGAGTCAGGTGACACATTTTCACATTATTGTAGGCGTCAATGACAGCATGCAATGTTCTGATAGTGTAATTTAATCATTTATTACTTTAAAGTAAACAGAAGTCTGTAAAACTGCAACATGAATCTTAACCCCTCAGTACCTGCACATATTGTAACCCTTCTGTACCACACACATGCTCCAGTCTCTTCTGGAGCAGGTGAGGAATCCCTGATAAGCAAATACCACTTTGGGACAGAAGGGTTGATGGCTGGTCCGCCACCTCCCACCTTTCCTGCTTCACTATGGGTCCTTCAATGTATTAGGGAAGCACAGTAACCAATAGTGAAGCAGGGGAGGAGAGCAGGGTGGGTCAGCCTCCAAGTTTCCTACTTCAAGCTTGTATTTACACTTTGGGGTATACAGGATTTCAGGGATCCAGGGATGCTCCAGGACACATCAAGAAGTAAATTCAGATACAGGAGGATGTCTTCTTTACATGCCTATTGCAGCATTTTAGTTTGTTGCCTACCCTGTGATGCTTTAAGTCAGGGCTAGGCAACCTCTACACTCCAGTTGTGGTGAAGCTACAGGTTCCATGAGGCATTGCAAGACTCTGACATCTACAGACCTGACCCCCAGAGGAAGAGGTGTGATGGAATTTGTAGCTTTACCACACCTGGTGTGCTGAGGTTTCCTACACCTGCTTTAAGTGGTACCACCAGGGCCGGATTTGCTCTCTCTGCTGCCCCAAGGCCAGGTTCCTCAATGCGCCCCCCTACCCGACAACCCCCCCATGGAGAATGGCAGACCTGCAGGCTGCATACAATGTCGCCGACATCACTTGTACAAAACAAGCGGCGGGTTCCTCGCTGTACATTTAGTACTGCTAAATATAGAAAACCACTACCCGCCCGTGCATCAGAAGATATGAATTCCACACCCCTGCTGCCCCTCTACTACATGCTGCCCTGAGGCAGGGCCTTGGTTGGCATTGTGGGAGATCCGGCCCTGGGTACCAGAGGTAAGTCAACTGAGCTTATTGAAAGATTTGGCTGTGTGACTAGCAATAAAGGAAACCTCCTATATTAATAGTGATGGAAATGTACTTATCAGCCCGGGGAAAATAAGGTAATTGCATTACCTTCCCATCTTGTTCATGTATATTGGCTTTGCTTCAGTAACTGTGCTGCTAAGGAAAGACTGATGTATGTATGCTGTTATGTTAATGGTATTATCTAATTGCAGAGCTGGAGTTCAAATGTAGCCATGAATTTTAAAGATGGTAACTAGAGCTTTTTTTATTGTTTTTAAGAGCTGTTTAGCTGCCTAAATATAACATATTAACCATTTTTATTTTGGTTTCTTAAATTGGGAGGGTTAGAAATCTCCTAAAACACCTGCCCAGAATAATAATATTGTCCGTGACTGCCTTGCTTTCAGTTCACACAGAAAATGCTGGTCCAAAGACCAGTGTGTACGGAAAGCCTTTACAATGTTTTCAACATTTTTGGAAGCGGCTTTCAGTCCTGGTCTGGGAGTACTTAATACAGTAAACTCTCAGTTATCCGGTATTCAACTAAGCAGAACTCTCATCTAACCATAAAAAAAGTCCCCTGTGTACCCAATGTTTTGCTGATCTGCGGCATGTATTATCCTGGAAATTATCGTCTAATGCTTTTGATTCCTGCATTTCAATAATAATATGAAGTCAATACAGAGTTTATGTTATGATATGGTATATTCAGTGGCGTCACAAGGGGGGTGAGGCCTGCACCTGGGGGATACCATTGCAGGGGTGACACCAAAATGACTGACAGTCATTTTGGTGTCACCTCCTCTAAAAAGTTGGGCACTTGGTCATGGACCGAGAGCCCAACAGTGTCAAGAAAGGGGAGGGGACCCAGCGGCATACCTCATCCAGCCGGGTGAACGTCCCCTTCTCTCTCTGCCATCGTCCATCACCAAGATGACCGTTGGAAAGCCTCAATCATATGGCTGCGCATGCGTGATGATGACATGACACCCGGCCCAGGGTATATTATCGGGTATGGCATTAGTTAGACCTATTTTTAATAGTAACTCTCAAGCAACCAGAAATGACATTCACCCAGAATCTACCAATCCCCCTGGATGCCGGATAACAGGGAGTTTACTGTATAGTGTTGAGGGTTGCTAAAAGCCTGTTATTTCCTCTTAACATTTTGTTAAATCTACAGCCATGAATCTAATCTCTAGTCAACACTCCCAGACTAGAGCATGAGGGTCTTTTAAGGGTATAGGAATGTTGTTTGAAGCGTTCTGTAAACATTGTTCTTTGGATTACCTTTTATGAGATGAAACCTGTGTGAAATAGCAGTGGTGGTCAATTTACTCATTATGGGGGAGTTCCGGCTGCCCCTAAAATCCCCAAACAACCACAAATAATAAATAGAAAAAAAAATACACTGCCTGTCCAAAAAACAACAACGTATCACCTGGACTCAGCTAAGCATATAGATCAGAGCCTTCCAATGGAGAATAGGTCCAGGTTCCGCAATGTTATGTGCCCACAAAAATGAGGTCAGCAGTCTACCTGAATATACTGAATGATCAGGTTTTTCCATCAATGGATTTCTTTTCTTCCCTGATGGCACATTGGGCATATTCCACGATGACAATGACAGGATTCATCGGGCTCAAATTGTGAAAGAGTGGTTCAGGGAGCATGAGACATCATTGTCACACATGGATTGGCCACCACAGAGTCCAGACCTTAACCCCATTGAGAATCTTTGGGATGTGCTGGAGAAGACTTTACGCAGTGCTCTGACTCTCCCATCATCACTACAAGATCTTGGGGAAAAATTAATACAACTCTGGATGGAAATAAATGACCTTATATAATATTATGGAGAGGACGCCACACACAGTGAATGTGTGCCATAATCAAACCTAAAGGTGGTCCAATGAAATATTAGAGTGTGAGACTTTTTTTAGGGGGCCAGGCAGTGTATATATACTGTATTATGCTACAGTAAAATGTCAATGGCCCTGACCATCTCCTGTACCATGTCTGCAGTCTCCAAGTCTTTTCCATGACTCTGTCTGAATAATGATGTGTTATAATAAAATATCATGTTATCGGTTCACGTACATTTTTCAAATGTTCTCTGTTCTTATGTTTTCATCAGATTGAGAAGCAGTTTTTTGAGGAGACGGTGAAGACTCTCAATCTGTACTATATGGAGGCTGAGAAGATCGGAGGTAGCTCTTATCTAGAGGGATGCCTAGCTTGTGCTACAGCTTATTTCATCTTCCTCTGTATGGAGACACACTATGAAAAGGTAATCTAAGTTTGTGTATTTTTTTTAAGAGACTCAGTCACTTTGGCCATTCAGGAATACATGACAAAGTCTCTTGAAAAAACAACCCCCACTATGACATACCACCCCTGTCTCCAACACACAACCACTTCCACCACCGCAGTTCTGTTCTTCTGTCTGAACCAGGGGTCCAAACCCTTTATAAGCTCCGTGTTGGATCTGATAACAAATTGATGTATTTTCCCCTTCACTTACCTACACTGCATCCAAGGAAGAGGTTATATGTACCCCATATTGAAATGCACTGTGTATAGGCAAGGTGACAGACTGGATATAGTAGACAAGCGTTAGCACCCCTGTAAAGGTTTGTATTGCCGTCTGTGCCTTCTCTGTGGAGAATTACCCTGATAACATCCGTCACTGCTGCTGAATGTGAAAGACAACCCCAAATTTGTGGTTGTCTTTGGGACTTTTTGGAATTGTGGATTTCCCTAAAGTTAAAGGGATGTCTGCTCACTTCCTGTTGTGCCTAAGGGACAAAACCTAAAGGGAAATCTCAAAAAATCACAAATCTCAAAAAAATTAACAACAGGGGTTTTAATCCTTCTCTATGCTATCCGAGACAAAGGAGTTTTTAAGATACATGTAAATGTACACTTGTACAGAACCTGAGAACACTAAACTTTATATTTAACACTGCTTAAAGTAGAACTATAGCCCAACACTAAACAATAGTGTATGTGCAGCAACATTTACTTATAAGTGTATCTCCACTTCTAGTTTTCTCTTAGCTACCCTGGAAAGTCCCACAAGTGCCTGCGGATCCTGCCAGTGAAGTCCACCTAATGCAGCTTCCTATGACGGGGAAGCAACAATGCTGCACTACTCCTGAATTCAAAGCAGAGATGCCACCCTCATGTAGGCTGTGCCTGCTTACACTACAGTGGGGTGAAAAAATGGGGCATGGGCAAGCATGGGGTGTGACTATTAGCATTACCACTGCTGATTCACAAGCCATTAGCTTGTCAGTCAGCACCTAGTCTCATCCACTGCTTTCTGGATTGGCAGTACTTCTGTTGCTGAATCCCACGCACTGAGCTGCAGTGTCTGGGAGGGGGAACGTGTGAGACACAAATGAAGGAGGATTTGTATCAGTCAGAGAAGGTAAAGACAGTTCTTTGTTTACTATATGAGCCTTGTGCATTTGTTAAAGAATAAATGCACATATAGTAAATGCACAGAACAATTCTGCAGCCATTTTTATAGTTTTTAGTATAAAGCAGTTTGTAAAGCGATGATGGTCTCATGTTTGGTCCATATTCATATCAGAGAGCGGAAATGCTTCTTAGCCCGGGATGTGACCTTACACTTTGCTCAGTGTGTTTGAAAGGAAGTTATTGGTGGGAAATCTGCTTATAGTTCGACTTTTTACCAAAGGGAAACTGGCTTGTACAGAAAAGGATTTACATTTTGTAGAGAGTAGCCGAGTATCAACGCTACGTTACAGCTTTGAACTATGTCCAAAATCGACACAGCTAAACTTTTGAGAGCAGGATGGAGTCGCACGTCAGGCTTGGTATTTCATCTTATTATCCATCTTATCCATCTATTTCTTGGTGAGCAAATTTAATCCTTCCTTCAAACGCTTGGGAAAGGTTGTCTCAACATGCAGGCACTCAGCAAGCTCAGCTAATTGCCCAATCTCTTTATATCACACCGTCAATCTGGGCATTGGTCCAAAGCAAACTCAACCTTTGTAAGCTGGAAATTAATTTCCCAGCAGATCCTGTTCCCACTTCAACCTTAGTTGATACTGAGAAAGGATACATTATGTAGCAGGAAGGGATCCTGAACTTTTATATAGATCCATTCCTCTGTCACAAGTAACATTCTAGTAAAACACGTTAACGCATTTCCTGTACAGTTCGGTATGAAGTGGACCTTTTATTAAAATCACATGGATCGATACAGTGCATGTCAACATTACCAAATCACACCATTCCTTTTAGTTATTTAGCCATGCCTTATAATAACCTGCTATTTCCAAAATTCCTCATGTCTAAAACCTAGGAAGATACCCTCAAGCCGCTCTTTCATCGCCTTTAAAAAAATAATTAAAAAGATCTGCAAAAGAAGACCTTCACTCTGTTGAACGGTGATGGCATCCAAAGAAACTTTCCCATACAACACACTTCTGGGTGTGTTTGGCGCCTTGTCTCCTGCTGCACAGTCTAGCCCCCTGGCGAAGGTAAAAACACAGACTGTTGACACGAGTGACATGGCGTGCCTTCTGTGCTAGATGAGGCATCCCCCAGCCCGCTGAAGCCCTGCCCCGTCCCACCGAAGCCCCGCCCTGGCCTGGTGAAGGTCCTCCCCATCCTGCCGAAGCCCCACCCCCAGCTCGGGAACCAAGCTATGTGGGGAGGAGGAAGGAAGGAGACAGAGAGGAGTCTCCCTGTCCCTCACTTGCTCATCACTGGTGAGGCATCGAGATCGATGTCCTCACTGTTTGTTTTTTGATTGGACAACTTGGTGCTTTGCCATTGGTCCAAGCCATTCACAGAGCACTCCTCTAACACAGTAGAGGCTGTGACAGCTCTTGCCTCACCAAGTTAGATTACACAAGCAGTTGGGAAGTCCACTGTTGTCTAACCTAACTACCTGTCAAAAGTCGGATGCAGCGATGCCTGTAATCCTTTAACCCATCCATGACAGGTTACACAGGGGAGGCTCTCCCTGCTGTGTAACCTGATAGAAGCCTCTCTGAATGGAGAAAAAGCTGGCAGCTTCAGACTTGAAGCTGACATCTTTTTCTTCATAATACTAGGTGAGGCTCTGCCTCTCCTTCCTCCACGTCCCTGGTTGACACACTTGGAAGTGTCAGATACTGAAGATTCGCTTGGAGGAGGTAGCTCTTCGAGTGATCCAGTATGCTAGGTTAGTATTAAAGTGGCACTAAACTCAGGAGTTAAATATTAAAAATACATCCAAGTACCCTAACTAACATAAATGTATGTTATTTGTGTATCACTCGGCTGGAGATCCTCCAATCATCTCTGAATTGGTGCTGACACTGTCCTTCCTTCTGGAGGGCGGCTATATTTGTTTCCCATGGCCCCTGTGTGTGTTGTAAAGTACCCACCGCTACTTTACTTTAACCATCGGAGTGTTTTTTAAAACATTCATTTTATTGGAAGGTTTAGTTAAACATTAATACTCCTACAAGCTTTATCCGAAAAACACAATTGCTGGTCATCAACTTTACATGTGAGATATCCGTAATAGCAGGTCGGGCTCAAAGATAAGTGTCAGAAATATATTGCTGAACTTGTCGTTTTTCAGATCCAGATTCAGTCACCTTGTAGTGCTCTGCAGTGATATTTTTGTTTTTTCAAACCATGAAGGGCCAGTTGTGGTGTTTTGCACATCTTATATCGTCGTTCCCCCAGTGGTGACAGTTACCTCTGATCTTCTTTGCCACAGGCTCTCAAAATTTGTCTGAAATTTTGCTAAGCTACTTCTGATTTTTGACTGTGATTTCCAAAAGTCTTTGCAGTTCATCATTCATTGAATTGAAGCTCACTAACATTTGTCCTGTTCCCAGGGAGGCTCATACACTGACAAGGACTACAAACCTCCATATTCAGATGACAATACATGTAACAATCCAATCACCTGTAAGACTTGTATGATGGACAAATACAGTAAATTCTGCTTCTGTGTTCCATCTGAGTTCCTTCACTAGTGCATCTGACCTCCTACTGACCTGCAATTCACCTCTTCAGCTGCATTGAGCTGCTTCAAGCTGTTTTTTTCTTTTCATTCCTATTGATTTGTATAGTGAGAAAATCAGTTCTGAAACAGAAGCCCATGTACCCAGACATTACTTTGATCAAGATCAGTCTAGTATGAGGAGCTACCAGTTTGGCTGCAAATTGAAGATTGTTTGGGTAGGCCCTCCCACATTCACTCGTTGGTAGATTATACAATAGGATTGTAAGGTGTTTAGTCAACTTTAGATGAACACTAATGGACAGCATTTCTCATTGCTGCTCCAGACTTGAATGACTTGGAACACTCTTCATCAGTCTTGTTGGGTTTAGATTTTTCCTTTATTCAATCTTGTTGTTCACATCTGGTTTATATCCCTGGTCTCTTTTTATTTGTTCATTCATTCGGTGGTTCTCTTTATTCTTTTTTTTTTCTCTTTTTTTTTCCTCTTTGTTTTCTTCCTTTTTCATGTTTTTTTTACATGTTTTCCTTTTTTGTATTTTTTTATTCCTTTCTTTTATCTTTTTTCATATTCTGTTAGTTTTTAAAATTATATTTTAGGTTGTAGCCTTGGATCAGTTCAACCATACAATGTATTTTTCGATGTATTTGTTTTGTTTTTTAATTGGCTTTCACTTTTCATTTACTGGAGTGCTAAACTTTCTTATTTAAGACACGTATTAATATTACCAACCTTTCCAGAATTTTGCATTGGTGACTTAAAGTGACATTAAGGGCAAAAGTCAACCCCCCGGTGCTAACTTAAGGGCTTACCTTAAATGATGCCTCTTAATCCAATCTTCTTCTTACCTAGGTTTTTAGCTGTCCCTCCAGCGCTGGTCCGGGTCTCCGATCCAGCGCTGACTCCTCTGTCCTCCTCTTCTCCCATAACCCACAGAGTCTGTGCAGGTGCACGCTGCTCCATAGACTTACCTTGTGTCTTTCCTTGTCTCCCGGCCGAACATCTTAACTGCGCATGCGCCCGCCCCAAGATCATTTGCGGCCGGCCGAGAAATTTTCAGATGTTCGGACGGGAGCGTGCGGCGGAGACACAGGTAAGTATTAACCCTTTGGGAAAGTTCTTTTTTTTTTTTAATCGTTTTGCATATATCCACTGCTTGCTAACAGTAAACATATGCAAAATATGTGAGGGTTTAATACCCCTTTAAAATAGAACTCAGTAGCTCATTCCTTTCTTTATGATCATTCTAAAGCTCATAAGACGGTTGTGTGTGAGCCTAGTGTAGGTTGCTTCTACGCAGCTCATACCTCATACTCATCAATGCCCTTCTAAACATTTTTTTCATTGTCTCCACTTTGAACTGTAAAACCTCTTCTCCTGTCCCTTGAAACAGATCTTTTCTTGGGATGTGTATGTTTTTTTCCTTTAATTGGCTCAGTGTGTGTTCTTCACTTGTGTCCTGAAGTGTTTAAGTCTCAACATTGAGCTCCTCAAAACCCTTTTGATAGAAAGGCCCAGAATAGCCCCTTACAGTATAATGTTCTAAAGGATTTGGTCCAGTTCCCAGATCCTGAAGAGAAAAGAGAGGAGCTGGTAATGGGGTAGATACGTAGGTAGATTTCTCTCCAGGAACATTCTAGTTTAGAAAAGTTTTGCTTTGTATACAATCTGAACAATGATTACAAGTATTCTTTGTCCAATAAGTGAAATCAGTGGGTGGCTGCTGGTCCATACAATGGAGACACAGTTTGCAGGTAGGCATACATTGGTGCTAGCCATGACTTATTTTGGCAGGTAGAACACTTCCCAAATCTGTACTTTGCCTTTGTGTTAAATTATTTGGATACCGTTTTCAGATTAATTCCTGAATCTTTGTTGTTACCCTTGAAATGCACCATCTCTGCCACACTGTGTAGCCAGGTAGTTGGTAGGGACAAAGATAACTTTGAAAACTTTGCTTCAGCTCCACCAAAACTGCAATTGCTACAAGATCTTCATGACACAAGACCTGAAATATGGCACACACTTCATATATAATAATAATCAGGAGGTGTGTTGGTGGAGCATGGTCTGGGGGGAGGGTGGAGTTGAAGAGTTGGTAAAGGTGATCACTGGCATTGAACGGTACCAGGAAGGGGGTGCTGGTGGTGCTTGTTACTGCTGGCAGAGAGTTGATGCACAGAACCTCCAGCGCAAGTGATGCACTGGCTCCCGGCATCCCTTCCAGCTCTCACTGATGTCAATGGTTGCCAGGAGCTGGGTGGGATGCCAGCCTGAGTGTCCCGCTCAGCTCCTGGCAACCAGTGATGTCAGTGAGTTGGGCAGACACCGGACAGCGTGGGATGCTCTGACCATACAGAGGGCAGCAGGCACACATGCCACCCACCCCCTTTCCCACGTGACCCACCTAGATGGCGCCTGCGGCTACTGCCTCAGGCTGCCTCATTATAGGGATGGCCCTGATAATAATAACAGTTATTATAATTCTTACAAATATTATTAATAATATTAGTAGTATTATAGTTATAAATATATATATTCTTATTATTTGGTATGATATTGCATTGGTTACTATTACTTTTACCAGACCTTATGTCTAAGCTTCCGGGCATTTCCACACTTCCTAGGTAATTCAGAGCTGCTATTTAGAAAATCTCTGTATTCATTCTCATCCAGCCTCTCAAATCTGTTTCTGTATTGTAGGTTTTGAAGAAAATCTCTAAATACATCCAGGAACAAAATGAGAAGATCTATGCTCCCAGAGGTCTCCTAATTACTGATCCAGTAGAACGTGGAATGCGTGTTGTATCCTTTAAAAACAATTTATTTTCTTTTTTTTCCCACAAAGGATAAGGTAAGTTTTGTTGCAGTGTTTCACATTATTTCCGTTGGCTTTTATACCGAGTTTTAAATGCTGTAATTCTGGATAAAAAAAATACACTGCCTGGCCAAAAAAAAGTCACACACTCTATTATTTGTGTGGACCACCTTCAGCCTTGATTACGGCATGCATCTACCGTGGTATCATTTCGATAAGCATCTCAACATTTATTTCCATCCAGGGTTGCATTAAATTTTCACCAACATCTTGTGGTGATGATGGGAGAGTCAGACCACTGCGCAAAGTCTTCTCCATCACATCCCAAAGATTCTCAATGGGGTTTGTGGTGGCCAATCCATGTGTGACAATGATGTCTCATCTGAACCACTCTTTCACAATTTGAGCCCAATGAATCCTGGTGTTGCCATCTTGGAATTTACCCAATGTGCCATCACACTCTGTGGTGGCCAAACCATGTTTAAAAATGAAGTCTCATGCTCCCTGAATTACTCATTCACAATCCTGGCACTCTGATCTTGGAATATGCATGTGCTAAAAGGGAAGAACAAATCAATTGATGCGAAAACCTGGTCTTTCAGTATATTCAGGTAGGCAGCTGGCACATGACGTTGCTGAACCTAGACTAATTATTCAATGGAAGACTCTTACTTATTTACTTAGATAAATCCATACTTTTTTGGGTGGACATAATGTTACTGAACTTAGGCATGACCATCTGAAGCAACCTCAGCTCATAACACTGCCCAAAATCCAGGTTGAGACTTTTTTTTTTGGCTAGGCAATGTATATTTAAAAAAAAAGAACTTCTCAAATACTGAGCTCTCCCAGGTAAACCCAACTTTTACTTGAGCCGATCTGAATACAACAGAGGTCGTTTTCTAACTGGTATTCAACATTATCCTTTGAATCATCAATTGTCTTCTGATTTAAGGGTTTGTTCAGGTAGTTTTTAGTTTTACATAGAGTAAATAGGGTTCAAACCTCTGTTCAGTTTTCTTTATATGCTGTCTGTGTCCAGTGGGCAACTTTCCCTTGACTTCCTGCCTTGGAAATACAACAAGAAAAGAGAGGAAATGTCTCCTATGTGATGGTATTTTAAACTTATACAGTTGGATGAGATACCCTCACTTCTTGCTCTGACATCTTAAACATTTTAGATTTACCCTAACTTTCTGTTCCGGTTGCATCAATCACCAGAATACATTTTGGGGGTGAATCTCCCTAATGGGGACATAGAGAATGGTAAAGACCTGGCCGGGGCTGGCTGGTGGCAGCTGCAGCGGTGGAGGAGGAGGCCGTGGCCTGGCGGCAGCAGCTGCTGTGGTGGAGGAGTAGGCAATGGCCTGACGGCGGCAGCTGCGGCGGTGTAGGAGGAAGAGGCCCTTCCCCACTCTATCCAAGACTGCCCTGGATGTAAGCTAGCAGGCCACCATGATAACATTTTCAGCACCAGAACAGCCAAGGAATGCAAATGTTTAGGTCACATTCATCTAGATAGCCTACATTTGTATCCTTAATATGCATGCATTTGTGCAGCTGTTATAGCACAGTACATAGTAATATACACAGAAGGTCCACTTTAAAACTTGCACTAAAAGTCATTGACAATATTCCACACTCTGAGAGTAACAAAATCTCTCATTTACATTTATTTAATTTGTAATTGAAGTGTGTGTGTGCAGGAACTCTGATAAGCTATAAAATGAGCCCCAATTAAATAGACGATTGCTTCTAGTTTTCCTCTTAATTTATGTATGAACTCTGGGTGAACCCTTATAGCATTTCTTGTTGCTGCTTATTGTTATGCTTCCCTCTCACAATTGTAGGTGGATGTGAGAATTTAATATCTCTCTGTTGTTTCAATTATGAATAAGTCTCAGAGGTGAGCGCATAATCTCACTGCGCGTTTATCATCCCTTATTTTTTACATTTTTTTTTGCTCAGCAATTTCCATGTTGAACATGTTTTCGAAAGTAATCATTGTGTGCACATTTCCTCCACATTTCTCATATAATTTGTTCAGTACTTGTTGATGTGGTATGATTTACTGGCTATAGTTAAGGTCAATGTAGTTTCCTTCAAGTCACTGATAATGTCATTAATAAGGTTGCTCTAAGATACTCCCTCTTTTCTCAGTTCCGGGCAGGATGTCTGACACCAGATGGCTGTATTGTACTAGGTTATTCCCATTTTTCTGCATCTTTTACTAATTAAACAGCTTTTACGTCTTGGTTTCTTTCTGCACATTTATGCCATATGTTTATAGCCTACAGAGAATATTAAAGTGGACCTGAATTCAAAACGTGGAGACCCTAAATATTTACATTCTGTCCTAAGTTTCTACTGAAAATAGGCAAGCATTGCCTGGTATATATAATATCTTGTTGATTTTCAACTCTTGATGATTTTTGGCATGCAGCCACAAAGAGAAGGAGTCACTGCTCTAAGTCATTCTTTGGTGTGTGCAAATGTCAGCTTGAGTGTCACGATCCAGACTGGAATCTAGGATGTGGACCCTAGCTACACTTGCAGGGGCACCAACATCAAAGGGTGCAAGCAGTGTAAGCTGACAACTCCCAGAGCTGGAATTTTAGCTGGGACAGGAGCTGTGGAGGTGAAATAGGCAAGTGGAAGACAGGTTTGGCAGGAAGTTCAAGGACTAAGCAGCAGTGGCGTAACTACCACCATAGCTACCCACATGGTCAGGAGACTGGGACCCGACAGTGGCAGCTTCGGTGGTGGAGGAGGCAGGGGCCAGGCGGTGGCAACCTGCAGCAGTGTAGGAGGAGGCTGGAGCCCGGGAGCGCCAGTGGCGGTAGAGGAGGAGGAGGCTGGGACCCGGTGGCAGTGGCGGTGGAGGATGCCGGGGCCCAGCAGCACCAATACCTGTTTGGTGTGGCGGTGGAGGCCGAGGCCCAGCAGCGGGTGGCTTGGGGTTGACAATAAAGAGGAGTGCAGGGAAAGAGACCTCGACCAGCCCCCCTGAGACCCTGCAGAGCCCACCAGAGAGAGTCTCTGGTGGGCTCTGCAGCTTCACTCTCAGCTGGGCTCTGCGGGGCCTATGGTGAGCTCTGCAGGGTCTCAGGTGGGCTCTGCAGGGTCACTCTCAGGTGGGCTCTGCAGGGTCTCAGGTAGGCTCAGGTGCAGGGTTTATGATGGGCTCTGTGGGATCTCAGGTGGGCCCTGCGGGATCTATGGTGGGCTGTGCAGGGTCACTCTCAGGTGGGCTGTGCAGTGTCTCTGGTATGTGTGGGGTCTCAGGTGGGCCCTTTGGGGTCTGAGATAGGCTCTGCAGGGTCTCATGTAGGCTGTGCGGGGTCTATAGTGGGCTCTGTGGGGTCTCAAGTGGTCTCTGCGGGGTCTACGGTGAGCTGTGCAGGCTCACTTCCAGGTGGGCTGGGCAGGGTCTCTGGTATGTGCGGGGTCTCAGGTGGGCTCTGCAGGATCTCAGGTGGGCTCTGCAGGATCTCAGGTGGGCTCTGCAGGGTCACTCTCAGGTGGGCTCTGCAGGGTCTCAGGTAGGCTGTGCAGGGTTTATGGTGGGTTCTGTGGGGTCTCAGGTGGGCTCTGCGCGGTCTATGGTGGGCTGTGCAGGGTCACTCTCAGGTGGGCTGTGCAGGATCTCTGGTATGTGCGGGGTCTCAGGTGGGCTCTGTAGGGTCTCAGGTGGGCTCTGCAGGGTCTCAGGTGGGCTCTGCAGGGTCTCAGGGGGGCTCTGCTGGATATCACATGGGCTCTGCAGGGTCTCAGATGGGTTCTGCGGAGTCTCAGGTGGGCTCTTCAGGGTCTTAGGTGGGTTCTGCAGGGTCTCAGGTGGGCTCTGGGGTGTCTTTGGTGGGCTCTGCAGGATCACTCTCAGGTGGGCTGTGTGGGGCTTCAGGTGGGCACTGTAGGGTCTCTGGTATGCACTGGGTCTCTGGTATGCAATGGGTCTCTGCTTGGTCTCAGGTGAGCTGTGCAAGGTCTGTCAGGCAAGGGATATCCATCCTCTTTTTTTCCATAGAATGGGATCAGTCACCCTAGTCTTGTCACTTTCTATGCAGTCTTTGGTAGAAGATGGAACTAGTGACCAGGGATTGTAACACTACCCATGATGCAGGGGTTGAGATGTTCGGGATCACTGACCTACGTGGCCATCTTTCATTGGGACCTGATGCTACTTTTTATCTTCCCAAGTTTAGAAGGTGTAGACTATACATCACAAACACACAGTCCTGCATTATTTGCATTTACTGGCTGCTGCATATTTGTTCTAAGAATCATAGGGTTGTATAATAAACCTACAGATAGCAGAGGCTGCCAGTACATTACAATTAACTGTATCTTTCATCATAAAAAAGGTGACACCTTGTGGGGATTTCTTTTGGTGATGATGCCAGCAGGCATTCATCAATGGGACTGCTTGACCTCAATGAAAACATCAATCGCTGAACTTGGTGACCAGTAGCGCTAGGCACCAAAAAAGACAAAAACATATTTTTGCTTTCATACAAATGACATAGTGGCTGATATTCCTCAGATAACGTTGCTTTGATGCTTTTTCTTTATGTCCCAACAAATATTGAAAAAAGTAAACAGTCAGGGTTATTCACAAAAGGGTGAAGAGCTTGGAGAAGGCAGGAAAAGTGAACAATCTAGGACAACATAGCTGAACTGGAAAGTGAGTTGAATTGGAGAATTTTTCCAGCTCAGCTATGCTGTCCTAGATTGTTCCATTCTCGTGTCTTCTCCAAACTCTTCACCCTTTTGTGAATAACCCTGATAGTATTTTATTAAAAAATGTCAATTGTGTGATATTCAGTACTCTGGTGATCTAAATGTCAATCAGTTAGGGTTTACATCTACTTTAAGCACATTTCCTTCCCAACTGCACACATGCATTGTGTCTGCCATCATGGGAAAAAAGGTTACACCTTTTGTGAAATTTCTGTTGGTCATGATTAAGCATGGGCTCGGGGGTGTTCGCAGCTCCACGTGCCGAACCCGCCAGGAAGCTGACAGCGTGCAGTGCCAATCACAACCACTGAGACATTTCCCGATCTCTACAGCTGCGGACCCGGAAAATGTCTCAGTACCTGTGATTGGAGCTGTCAGCTTCCTGGCGGGCTCGGCACGTGGAACTGCGAACACGCCCAAGCCCATTCTTAGTCATGATGTCAGCAGTCACTCATCAATGAGTCCCCTTGAACTCACTGAATCCACCAGTCCCTGAACTTGGTGACCAGTAGCTCTAAAAGAGCACCATAAAAGAGAAAACATGTCTTTGATTTCTTGCAAATGACTCAGTGGTTATGTTCCACCTGTGTCATTTCTGATTTGATTCCACATATTCCTCAGCAAATGTTGCTTTGATGCCTTTCCTTTATGTCCACATTCCATTCCATAATAATTCTTATTGTATTTATTTTTGGAAAATGTGTGTAAGTATTGCTGTGTGTATATAGTATACAAATGGTTGTGTTCCTGCCTTAAAAAAAATGCAGAGGCCCTGGATGTTTGAGTGATTGCATCAGACAAATGACAATAGTATCTTCCTTGATCCCTTCTGTTAAAGATCGAGATCTCCATTTATGAAGACCGATGCAGTAGCGGCAGTAGTAGCAGTGGCAGCTCCAGCAGCACCATCAGTGCAGGCGGGGGTGGCGTCGCCAGTCGTGCCCGATGACTGGCAGAGAGTCCCTGCGGGGACCTGTACTGCCGGGACGATGGCCTTTCTGAAATACGAAGACTGCGATATCAGAGCACAAGGTTCTAAATCTAGATTAAGACGATGACTCCTAATACCTGGACATGACTAGGAGTATCAAAATGTCACCACTGACTAGCTTGACGACCAACTGAATTATTCAAGCAAAACAACAAACGCACCTTGTAACATTTCAAATAAAGGCTTCCATACCACCGTTCCGTCTGCTGTGGAATGTGCAATTAAACTGGTTTATATGCTAGTTTCTACATATTTTTCAGATAAAGCAATTATAGCTGCTACATCTGTCTTTGAAATGGCGCATCAACTCCAAACAAAGTCAGAAAAAATGTCACTCAAATGTTTCTTTCTAGCTGAAACTGGGATACATATCAATCTTCATTATCCAAGGAACCGTTATATTGTGGCAAATTACAGCGGCGTATTTTTTCACCATTCAGTAAATATATCTCACTGCAATGAAAAACTATTTGGATAATGTCTGCATGTTTCCACACTGGAATCGGTAACCACAAACTACTTATTGGATGTTTCCTTTAAAACAAAATACAGCCTATTAGGAACAAGTCCATTGATGGAGATTCCAGAACTACGTTCGTTGAAATAACTGATCAAAGTCAACTTCCTTTTAGCAACATATGACACTGAACCTCATCGTATTCTGTTGCCTTATTTTGAATAAATCTGTAGACAGTTGTAAATATTTCATTCAAAAACAATAACCTGGATTATAGCGGTTTTACCTTTACTTTGGACTTTTGGTGTGGTAATGGAGATTATTCAGCACGTCCCATTGTGCTAAGGAGGGTAATGGATGCTAACATGCTAACTCTTTTTCTCTGGTGCACTTCTTCCTTCTCATGTCTTGAACACACATATCCCTTGTAGTTGGTAATAGCATTTTCTATGGTTACCATTGAAAGCTTAATGAGTCGTGTAGATAAAGACCATTGCCCTTATTCAAAGTGGGTTAAAATAATTGAATGGGAATATTGGGAGACAAGAGGACATTGGTCCCACAGGCCATCCTGCTCAAAATATGACACATTGCTGTGTTAAAGAAGACCAACAGCCACCCTCTAAAAGAAAAAGCTAAATATTTGCATCTTTGGTTGGCAGTGAATGAAATCTTTACTCTCTTCCAGGTCTGTTGCTATCACATCCAGGTGCGGCATATAGGAGCAGGGCCCAGAGGTCTTCTCTTTACTCACCACGAGTTGAAAAAGAAAATATTCAGTTGGGTGTAGAAGATAAATAGCAAAATGGTTGCAACTTGTTCTTCGAGGTTCCCAGGTAATATGGGGTAGAAACCACCATACGTCCAATCTTATACAGGTCTATAATACACCAGTCAGTGCATCTACTTCCACAACAATACAGGGATGCAGGTACTAAGAAACATAAAAGTAGAGAACAGGGTGTAAGACGACCCTCGTGCAATAATCTTCTCTAGAAATAGTAAAAATGCACTCATAAGCAAACAGAAGTAGAGCAGCTTATCTCAAAAATATGGATGACCTAGTAGCCCTTTTAGTAACCTGTGGAAGATCTAGTAGCCCTTTTAGTAAGCTGTGGAAGATCTAGTAGCCCTTTTAGTAACCTGTGGATAATCTAGTAGCCCTCCATAGAAGATCTAGTAGCCCTCCAGTGGAGCGGCTGCATGGGAGGGGAAGCCCGTTGTGGGTTGTCTCAGAGTGGTAAAACCTAACACATGCCAGATGCTGGAGAGATTTCAGCATGCACGTGGCTAGGGACTGTGCACACTTTCAGGTTGCGGGGAGGCAGTAGCATTGCTATGGCTACACATTTCGAGGATTGCCTCACCCTTTCGAAAGCCAAAAGTTCACAGTTGCTTGGGTAATCTAGTATATCGGGTCTAGTTCTGAGGATCCAAGAGCCTACTTTATCTCTGAACAAACAAAATCAGTGTGCGGTCACTCAGGACAGCATTATTGTGGCTTAACTTAATATTCCTACTGCTTTTTTTCCCCAAGAACAGAAATACACAAATTACAGTCCTGCACAGGAGTAAAGTTAGTAAAGCATTACAGCTGAACTCCAGGCAGAGATAAAAGACACAAATGAATGCAGTTCTGTAATCATTAATACATCGTTCAATACAAGCATTGCAATTACCTGGTAATAGCCTCTTGCAGTCATTGTACACCAGAAACAGAGTATGAGAAGCAGCAGAAGGAGTCAATTGGTTCATGTGCTGACAAGCAGCATGCTGCTAGGAGAAGAGAACAGATGACCAAGAAATGAACTCATCACTGTTGGGCCAACAAGCTGGAGTAGGTCCAGGGCAACCTGGGCTCAGAGGAAGTAGGTTGCTTGAGGCTGGCCATTAGACATCTTGTGGTTGAAAAGAAGTACTGCGGGGGACAGCTCTGGATTGAAAGTGAATATAGCAACAAAAGCCTTTTTTTATTTGATCCTTTAATAAGCTATTAATGCTATCCTGCTTTTTTCGGCTGGAGTTCTGCTATAATGTTGCTACTGTTATGTATTTCCCCATAGGTCCCTGTATTAATAATTGTGCTGACAAAAGCCAGTCTGTAGCCAACCCAGTAAATGTCTTTTGTGTTCTTTTTGGTAATGAAATTCCATAGATTTGTATCTCAGATTGGTTAAGTTGTCCCTGTTGACAGCCAGTGCAGGGCAGCTGGGGAATGCCTGGGGCCCCTGTGTGCAAAAGCTCTTGTGGATAGAACAGTGTAGCCACTGACAAGCCAACATCTCTGATTACATTGACTATACAGTGGGTGTGGGTGGAGCATGTTTTCCAGAATCCCTCCCCTGACCAGTGCCTGTATTACCACTTGGGGGCCAGACAGCTTTAAGAGGAACCTATGTTTGATTATGAATAAGAAGAATTAACATGGGGATCCATCTCATCATAAACAATAGTCCAGCTGATTTATATAGCAAATAAAACATGGCTACAATAAAATGTTTTTTTTTTTTTTTTACATTTTGGATAGCATGGGATAAAGCTAAACTTTGTGTGACTGCATTGCAGAGATTTTTATTTACTTCCTGTCCCTTGTGCCTCCCAAGCAAGAAATATGGGGATTCGTACATCACAAGGTCGTGAAAGCCCGTACAGCAATACAAATATTGTCAGGAGTTCTTACCAATCTACTTTGCTAAAATGTTTTTGTCCTTTTTACATTTTGGATAGCATGGGATAAAGCTAAACTTTGTGTGACTGCATTGCAGAGATTTTTATTTACTTCCTGTCCCTTGTGCCTCCCAAGCAAGAAATATGGGGATTCGTACATCACAAGGTCGTGAAAGCCCGTACAGCAATACAAATATTGTCAGGAGTTCTTACCAATCTACTTTGCTAAAATGTTTTTGTCCATGGCCCTTTTGGAGAGATTTACCCTCACTTCCTTTCTTGAAAATAAATAGTTGACAGAAGCTCTCTAACCCTTCTCTGCAAATGTCAAAATGCAAAAGAGTTTTGGCTGGAGTTGGGCCTAATTAAAGTAGAACTATGGCCTCCAATTTGCAAACAAAATGTACTGCAGCACCTAAAAATACTTAGTCTCCCTGCAAAGTCCAACAAATACATGTTACTTCTCCCAGTGATGTCCCTCTAATGCAGGGGTCAGCAACCCCCGGCACGCGTGCCCAGCCTGGCACGCGAGACCTTGACAGCTGGCACGCGACCAGAGGCGGCTATGCAACAATGCAGCACTGCTCCTGAATCCAGAACAGAGTTGTTTCCCTCATGTAGGCTGTGCCTGGTTACACTACAGTGGGAGGAGAAGATGTTACAGGGAGTGTGGCTGTCAGCATTGCCACTGCTACTACTACTTTGAGCTGCAGTGCCTGGGAGGGGGAGCGTATGAGACACAAATGAGGATTTGGCTCAGTCAGAGAAAGTAAAGGAATATTTTTTCTTGACTTTATGAGGATTGTGCATCACATAGTAATTGGATTTGGTACTTGTTTAGACTGCCATACAGGGGCCTTCAGATGTACTTTAAGCTTTCTTGTTGTTTTACTGATCTTTCTTTGCTAGTTAGCGAGGAGTGAGTATTCCGGTAGCAGTCCACAGATGTCATCCTATGGCGGAATAACCACATTTAGACTTGTTTTATTTTGCTACTTAATGCAAATACTAGCAACATTTCCATACACAAGTAATGTTCCCGGCTTTAATCGCTATTTATCTCTGTCCGTCTAGAGGGAAGCGGATAGATCAATACACATCTCCGGCCTAATTCTGCCCTAAAGGAAGCTGAAAGGTCGGTATTGAATTTTCAGGCAATTAGACGGAACGTACCAGGGAATTTATTGCTGGTCAGCCAAATGTAAAATTGAACTTATTTTATGGCAGGCTAGGTAGCGGTTTGTAAAACATGCCATGTTAACAAACCCTTTACTTTGTTTGTGTTCTTCTCTATGTGGTTCGAAATGCAGATGACATGAACGGGTTTTGGCTTTTTATCAGTTCTGTTATAAAGAACTGTAGGCTGTCCCTAGAAGCCCTGCATACAAATGCAGGGCTATGAGCATCTCCCGGGAGCTTCTAGCTCTCAGACCAGCACCCGCAGCCTTTTTTTCCCCTTCACAACGATGGTCAGAGGCCCACTGACATCATCACATCCAAATGCAGGGCTGTGATGCTCGATATCCAGGTGGTGGCTTTTTTTTGGACAGGCAGTGTATGTTGCCCATCTGTGGCTTACATCCCACACAGTGCACAGTCAGATCTAAAGCACACACACAAAATGGGGAAGTAACTTCACCATTGGTGTATGCTGCATACCAGAACACGCTGCAGTTTTGACAGCGAGGCTAATGACAGGAGATATAGTCATGCCAAAATTGGTATAGCATCCTGTTACTCCCATCAGCAATCTCAGGCTACCCAATGCAGCTGGTGTGAATGGGCCCTCAATGTGCAGAGAGGAGATGAATGACCTCAGCAGTCCACCGTCGCTTCTTTATTGACCAATTCTAGGCTGAGGGCAGGAAGCGACAAGGCTAGTAAAGCTTAACTGAAGTAAAGTCAACAACCTAGTTGTGCCATGTGGCAGGGCAGCAGTGCAATTCTCAGAATCAGGTGGACAGAAATACAAATGCTTTGGCAGGTAGATTTGCTCCCATATACTGTATGTCTACTCTGTATTTA